TAAAATGCTACAGTGAAAATTTAAAATGCTACAGCGAAAATTCCAAAAAGGTGAACACTTTTCTTTGCGAGTTAGTTCAGAAAAAAAAGTTCGTAATAATACACTAAGCTGATAGCAAGTGGAAATAGAAAGCGTTTGTTTTAATTTTAGATAAGAACTTTTATTCAATTTGTTATCGAGGGCCGGCGAGGTTGATTTGAAGTTTGCAGAAATTGCTGTTAACAGTTTAGTCAATCTTAACACAGAGGCAAAGCGGAGCTTCTCATCCGTTACGATGCAGCAAATTGGAAGTTAAAAAAAGGTAAAAATAAGAATAGCATAACTAAAATACAACGAAAAATCAATAAACTATTCGAGATGGATTTTCAACCAGAAATGAATCAAAAACCCGAACATCTCAGTAAAATTTGACGCAGAGACGAAGCTGAGCTTCGCGGTATTCGCGATACAAAACAAGATGAAAATCGAAAATGTCGAAAACACTAGACCTATCAAAATGAATACAGCTAATTTAAGGATATAGATCTCAGAAATGTAAAATATCTGTCTTATAAAAAGCGGGAAAAAAACAATTCACAGGCGAAGCGAAGCTTCGCCCCACTTTCCATACAGCACACATATAGCATAGTAAACTAACTGACAAAAAGTGAGACACAGTCGATAAAAACTTTCATTTTTCAAAAATGTCTGAACAAAATTATCCGACAATACCTCAACAGGTTGACCCGGAAAAAAAAACGAACTTGACAAATTGTTGCCATGAAAAAATTATGAACAATTAAGCTTTGATTAAAAACATAACAAGTTGACGAAGCTGATCAAACTTAAGCCAGAACAAAAACAACCTAAGGAAAAAATACAGAGTCAGGAAAGTAGTAAATTTTTAAACAACAGGAGTAAATCAAGATAAAACAGCGCAACAAAAATCTGTGATATGGCAACTGAGCCGACCGAAAATAAGCAGGCACACATTAGGCCGAGACTTTTTTTTCCTACTCATAATTGCATCTTTTTAATGTCAAACCACTCTTCTAATTTCCCACCCGGATTAGAACCCTCGCTTACTGCTCACCAGTCATCCGTGCTAATAACTGTGCCAAGCACGTTACAATGGTTTGAAAAAAAAACACATTTTTACACAGGCGAAGTTGCACTTCGCAGACACAACCAAAAATATGACCAATAACGCTACTGGGAAAAACTGAATGAGTAAAATTTTGAATCTACAAAATTTTATAAGCGACGCACGCCAATTATGAGTCTTCATAATTGCTTCGTGACGGAAGCCACTATTGACGCATTAGCAGTAAATTTGAAAAAAAAAAGAAATTACCAACTAAAATGCCTCAATTTATAAAGCAGACGCATTTTAACTAGTATACGAAAAAGTTCATTAAGAACATCCGACCCTGCCCAGGTTCAAACTCTCTTTTTTTGCTGCTGGTCTCCTTCTCTACCTCTACTCTACAGATCCATGATGCTTTGAAGCTAAAATGCTATTTGTAATATATTAGTCTGAATTAATATCCTTAGCATGGGCTATACTTAATAGCTGGATCAAAATGAACACTTTCAAAATGAACACATTTTTTCGCAACAATGGCATCGAAACAATATTTGCGACTTACGTTGGAAAAAAAAATTCATACTATAATTCAACCTATGCTTGTGTAATTATTTTAAAGAACTTCAGGGATAAATAAAAAAAATATATAATAGTGCCATCACCTATACATATTTATAACAGATCCAAAATATATCTTAAGCTAAGACTCGAAGTTGTAGACTAAGTACAAACAAACTAAGACGGGAATAAACTAACCAGAAACCATGCAGCTGAAACAACTGCACCTATTTCAATTCTTCTTAAAACCAACTGAAATTAAAATGCCCCAAAGTGAATGGAAAATACTAAAACTATGCACGGCTCTAAATCTACAACCTGTTTATCAGAAAAAAAAAAAGCAATAAAAATTACAAAAAGACATTTAAAAGAATAAATTCTCGAAATTTGAGGTAAGGATAACATTTTTTGATATCACTTAAAGCTTTCTAAACTAAATAATTTTAGCCTCAAAACTCAATGTTTCAAAAAAGCAAGAAAACACTTACATGACAAAAAATTATTTGACTGAAAAAATTGATCGAAAAACCAAATAGAGAAAAATGCACATTAACTCACGCGGATTTGACAACGCCCGGAAGCCAGTCATAATTTCGAAAAAAAATTGGCAAAAAACTAAATTTAATGTTTTAATGTTTACCGACAGAACTAACGCCGACCCCCAATAAACAGCAATAATAAGAATCAAACAACATTGCTACTGCTAGCAACTCTTTCGACAACTCTTTCTGTGAACTAATTTTTTTGATAGGTATTGACATTTTATGTTCTTTCTGTATTTGTGAAACCTGACTCTTAAGAAAAAATTTTGTTGGCCCTTTCCTTTGCATAGCTTTTTCGTCTAAAATGTCAGATCTGTAAAAAAAAATTAAATTTCGTTTTTGTAGCATCCGTCTAATTTGCTTATCGTCTAATTTCCTAGGCCCCAGCAAATATGTGCATTTATGTGAATATGCATTCCGGGGCCTAGGAAATTAGACGATAAGCAAATTAGACGCATGCTACAAAAACGAAATTAGACGAAATTTATGTTTTTTACAAATCTGGCATTTCTGACGAAAAAGCTATGCAAAGGAAAGGGCCAACAAAATTTCTTCTTAAGAGTCAAGTTTCACAAATACAAAAAGAACATAAAATGTCAATACCTATCAAAAAAGTTAGCTTAAATGAACATAAAATGTCAAATCCGAATATTACAGGAGAGTTTTGAATTGAATAAATTATTCATCATTTACTTGTAAAATTTTTGGCCACCGAAATTTAACTGTTGTCTGCAAACAATTTTATTTTTCGCACGCAATTTGTCTGTAAACAATTTTACTCTCTCACTTCCGTCTATTTTCTCTTTATTTCCTTTTAAGTACCTCCTTCTAATTTGCTTATCGTCTAATTTCTCAACCCATATATTTGCTTTTTATGGCTTTGAAATGACTGCCTCTGTTTAATTTATTTTTAAACAATTTTCAGGGTAGCATTCAACGAGCCTGTTTCTTTACATAAATGAACATACTTGTTTTTTATGGCTTTGAAATGACTGCCTCTATTTAATTTTTGTTATTTTAACAATTTTCACGGTAGTGTTCAAGAAGCCTGTTTCTGACTTTCGTGCTATCCTTTCCTGAGGGTTTAGGAAATTAGACAAGCAAAATAGACGATCAAAAAATAACGGAAGTTAGACGATAACTTGCGTGAAAATTGTTTACCGACTTAAATTAACTTTTGGCAGAGTAAATACTGGTTGTCCAACCACACGTCAGGTTATTAATGTCACAGCTCTATAATTTAAGCATTTTTAAAAGGTAATATATTTTTTCGATTGAAAGCTTAAAATTAATTAACTTAAAATAAAAATTTTGATCAGTTCTGTGAGCATTTACTCCTTTTGTTCTTGCTTACTTCATTCTATTCAAAAAAGTTTTGTTGACCCAGTTCTTATCATCGTAACAGAGAGTCGTCGTCTAAATTCCGTTTTTTACGGTCGTCAAATTTTCTAGTCGTCTAATTTCCTAGACCTTCTTACTTGGGCTAAATTAGGAATTTGACTTAAGGTCTGTGATTAATTGATGTAGTGAATACAAATAAATAAATGTATAAACCTCTAATACGCCACTGTGTGGATTAGAGGATATTCCTATTTGCTTTCGAGGTATTTACCTTGTAACAATGAATGAGCTGTAAAGAACAGCAAATAGCGTCTGCTACTGCTAATTGAAATTGTCAAATCGAAACTAAACTGGACAAAACATTGAAAACAATTGAACCAAAACAATCCACATTTATCCAGAAAAAAGTAAACTGATCATTTTTTAGTATCACTGTAAGACACAGAAAACGCTGTTTTTGGAAATTAAATAATCGGATTTGGTTTTTCAAGAATTTGAGGATGTCACCAATAAGAGTGGGGATTAAACATTCAGTGTCATTTAAAAAGAGTTCCCGTATGGGAAGAAATCCTGTTTGATAAAATATTTACAGGAAAAATACCCGATTACAATACTCAATCTAATCGCATAAGTAATTAAAACTAACGGTAGTTGCGCCTTCAAATTTTTTAGATACGGTCCTTTTACACTCGCTAATGACAAGCTGTGTTATAAGCTGTATTCTGCATTATCACAGCCTGGTGTTTACAGTGACCTGTTGAACTTGAGAAAAAAAAATTAAATTTGCAGCAGATCTGATCTGCAGCTGGAATAAGAGGAGCAGGGGCGGATTTAGGGGGTGGGGGGTTCGACTACCTGCCGACCCAAAAGGTCCCCCCCTTTGGTACTTTTTAAGAAATCCATTTTTGGCCGACGGACTCTAAAATTTTTCTAAAGGCGCCAATATATACTATTTTTTGAGGGGGAGCGTGCGCCAAAATTTTTCAAAAAGTGCCCAAAAACGGCTTTTTGAACTGTTTTTTTTTTTCAAAAATTTGCATGCGGAGCAAAAAAATTTGGCAAAAACAGAGTCTTTCTAGTGTGCTTTAGGTCGACCTAATCAATTTGGTCGACCTAAAAAAAGTCAAAATTTTTGAAAATGTTTTGAAAATCCGCCTCCCCCCTCGAGAAAATCCTAGATCCGCCCCTGAAGAGGAGCACTTCAGAAATTGACTAAGAAGTTTTGCCTTGAAAATTTTATAACCCATTGAATGGTTACTCGCATTTTTAAAAAAAAATCATTACTTGCAGCAAGCGCGCTTGAATTTTTGAGTACTTTACTGAGCGAGAGGCAAGAATGAATTTCGAGAAATCTCAACTACTTTTTAAGACGCATTTTGATCATCATCCATAGCCCTGAGGAACAAATTAATTTATCATTTCAGTTTTTTTATATTTACTACTTTTTGAAATCTTTGCGAATAAATGATGAAAGCTAGTTTAAAAACGCTTACCATTTTTGAAAGGGTTCTTTGCAGCTTCACTGCTTTCTTTTTGCGCTTGTCTAAAAACGAAAACTATATTTTATAACTCACAGCTCAATTTTGCAAAACAAATGTACTTTTTCGTCGCCGTAATATATTTTCAAGCTTCGAAAAACAATACGCATTTTGAGCTCATTTGCAAAAATTTTCTAGAAAAATTAAATTACTGAAGCAAACTTATGCATAGCGAAAAACATATAGGGGACGTCGAAAATGGTTTAAATAAGCTACAGTCTCAAAAGATACATGGCAAACTATTAAACTCTCATTAAATTGAAGATCAGCCCGTGAATGTCAATTTAGCAGCCGCGTAGCTAACTGAGCTGTCGTGCGATTTCTTCACAGGTCCAGATTGCGAGTAATGGAGGAACCGAATGTCTACTTTCGTTCCATTTAGGTGTTTGCTTTTCAGCTCTTCGACCGCTGCCAAGAGAACGGCAATGGGATGTCTTCCACATATTGTGTTCTTAGTTCGTTGAATGTACTTGGAAAAATTACTCATATTAATGGACTCGATTATACTCATTCCTTCCCTGTCCAGTCGCTCGATTGATTGGTATATGGGAAGTCCCTCGTTTTTGTCAGGGTACGGAGTGTAGCTAAATCTATCGCCCCAGTGACAGAAATCGGATGATATGATGAAGATTGTCCTCGGCTGCAGCAAAAAAGGGGCGAGCACCTGACCGTAGAATCGCTCCCGGTCTTCTTTCAGAGCACCAACCAAAATAGGCACTATTTTCACCCGTTCCAAATGACCCTCTCCGGCACTATTCAGCACATGCGCCAAAAACGGTAGTTGCATTTCAATCGAGTGTTCTTCCCTATCTACTTTACTCGACATCTCGCTGAAATGTCCGGTATTTCTTAATTGAGCAACAGTCTCAGTGTCTATATGTAAGTCGCCGACAGGTGTCGCATAGAACTGATGTCCAGTCAAAGCACAGTCTTCCAAGTACATTCTATGGGATGGTCCGAGAATGAAAACTCTGTCAACTTCTTCGGCATTGATTTGACTAAAGCCGAAAGCAGCTGTTACGCCGCAGTACACGTATCCCGCGTGCGGTGATATTATTGCCTTCAGTCTCTGATTATTCCCCCCAGCGCGTCGCGGATCAGACCCGCCACTATGGTTCTGATTGCACGTTTTATGGGCATTCTCGAGCCATGAATTCAACTCATTCTTCAATTTAGGCCCCTCTTTTGTGTACCATGAACCAGCCTTTTCGGCCACTCGCGTTTTACTGCTTCTCATTCAACAACTGTAAAAGTCATCATCAATTAACAGTAATATTCGATCTTTCAAGGTAAGAACTGTCTGAACTCTTTTCTTATTAGGACATCTAGAACAAAGTACATAACTTCATTCAACTTTTGAGATACACACAAGGTTGATTCAAAATAAAAACTTATTCCTGCATATTGATACTTCGGTTAACGAAAAGTGTCAAAAAAAACTTCGCGATAAAAAAAGAAGACGAAAAAGTACACGATTGCCTAAGCTACTTACAAATGAAGCTTCGAAACAACCCATTCACCATTAAGAAGCATTGCACCAGGTGTGTCCTTAGTTGCCGTAACTAATTCTTTTGATGGAATTCCAGTTGGTTTACGTGCAGTCCTATGACAATAATGATTCAAAATGACTATATAATTATTACAGAAACTTTTTCGAGAAACAAACTTTCACTCAACTGAGTAATATTGCTTGATAGTCTCAGCTCGTACATTTTAGGGGGGCTGAGAGTATATGAAAAATAAACTAACTGAATTGTTTTCTTCGAATGTTCTTCGGTGCAAAAATTAATCCAGTGTCCACCTTTGCCGCAATTATAACATATATAATTAGGAGGCGGGAGACTGGTAGCTTCCTTATTCGAATTAGATTGCACATCCATGACTAACTGCAAAAGTTGTGTTTGTAACAGTCGCCTACTTTAGTCACATATGAGGCTTAAGAAAAATAGGCCCTATAACCATTGGCTCAAGAGTCAGGGACACTATCTCTTGTGTTTTTCCGCCTCAAGAACGGTCGGAGCCAATTCGGTTCGCTTGCGACATGAGACTGGAACCCATTACAGCTTAAAGGCCACTACCAAAATACCCCCCCACTCTAGAAATAGAAACGTCCCCATACTTAGGTCTCGGAATACCCAAAATACATGAACGCCATTAAAAACCGGGTCGGAACCATCCGCTTAGTTACTTTTTATTGGACAGTGGAACTTTGATCCATTTCAGATGGATCAACCTAAAACTCGCCTTATCTCAACATAACTATCATAAAATGCACTCGAGAAATTTAAATTGGAACTTACATATCGACGCACTTGAGTATGAGGAGTGAGTTAAAGATGAGCAGCTTGAGAATTAACTAATATAACTAAATAAGTTTTAAGGCCAATTAGTTTCAATAACGAAAGTAAGTTCTGTCTCAAGAATTGAAGTTTTCGTTTGGACCATTAGGACACTCGAGTAGTCCTCTATTCCGTTGAAGGTCCACACTATTCCATTCGAATAGTGATCCTTCCTCAAGTCAATGTTGTTTTCTCCTGTTTTCGGGATAAGACAGCTCTACTCTCTTGATATTTCGTATCGAGAAATTGCGAACAGCAATTTCCTGCCTTTTTCTTGAGTAGTTTCCCGCTCTTGTTAATTCGGGTGTTCTGATTTCTGACTTTTTCATTTTCAGTTGGTTCGAGAAAACTGAGCATGACATGCTCAATTCGAATTTTGCAAAATTAAAATTTCACTCCAAAATTGCGTATTTCTCAAGGTCAAACCCCCAGACATGACCGACTGGCACAGTTCTTAGCTCCTATATTTATACAATAGATTTTAATTGAGAAAATTTGAGTTCCATCAATTTCACGGAAAAACGTAAGTTCGTACTAGTCGTAGCTCCATAAAAAATCTTAAGTTACAAGGCAAGCGTAGCATTGGGTCAAGTGTGACAGAGAGGTCCTAAATCTCGCTGGTTATTTTATAAGCAAATACAGCAATTAATGAAATCAATGGAATCCGCTCGCCTTTTTTCTCAAAAGTAACTAATCTTCCTTATTTGATGTTGTAATTCCACATTATAGCCCCCCCCCCCCCAATGTAAATTATAAAAGGGGCCCTTCCGTTTAGGTACGGTCGTGCACCAGCTGGATAGAGCCCATACCAGCATTATATAAATACATCAATAAACAATATTGCAGGAATTAAGTCAACCACAATATATTATAGACGCCACCCAATAAAAAAATTCACTGCTAAGACAGGCCGTATTTTTTGTTACTCGGCTGAGGGTGGGGCTTTTTTGAGGCTTACAAAAAAAGCTAAGATAAATAAGAAATGTGCCAGTCGGTCATATCTGGAAGTTTGACCTTGAGGAACACGAAGCACGTGGTTTTGGAATGAAGTTTAATTTTTCAAAAATTCGAATGTAGCCTGTCATGCTCAGTTTTATCGCGACAACTGAAAACATCAAATATAAAATCAGAACAACCGAATTACAATTGCGGGAGTGTTGTCAAATAAAGACAGTGGGAAAGTGCTATTCGCAATTTCCGTCGTAGAAAACGAGAGTAGAGCTGTCCTATCTGATATAGGAGACAGAACGATCACAAGAGCAAATCGAAACCCAACTGAACCAGAGTTAACCTTCAATGGAAAGGCAGACAACTGAAGTCTCCCAATGGTTCAGATCCAAAACTACATTCTCAAGTTAAAACTCATTTCCTTTGATTGGAATTTACTGATAGCAAACTTCTTGAGTTACATTCAATTATATTTATGCTAGAGTTACTAATTAGCTTAATTACTCTGATTCTCAAGTGTGTTGCTATATAAGTACCTAATTTAATTTTCCCGAGTGTATTTTGTGATAAGTATGTTGAGATAAGGCGAGTTTTAGGTTGATCCATTTGAAATGGATCAAAGTTCCACTGTCCAATAAAAAGTAACTTAACGGATTGTTCCGACCCTCTTTTTAACGGCGTTCGTGTATTTTGGGTATTTTGAGACCTAAGTATGGGGACGTTCTTATTTTCTAGAGTAGGGGGTATTTTGGTAGTGGCCTTTAAGCTGTAACGGGTTCTAGTCTCATGTCGCAAGTGAACCGAATTGGCTCCGACCGTTTTTGAGGTAGAAAAACACAAGAGATAGTGTCCCTGACTCTTGAGCCAATGGTTAAAGGGCCTATTTTTCTTAAGCCTCATATGTGACCGAAGTAGGCGACTGTTACATTTTGTTTTTATGGCACTCCTGGGTGTTTTTACGACATCATGACTACGGAGTCGAACCCACTTGACACAGCTCCGGGATACATGCCCATTCTAGAGTACCGGTGGTACGGTTCAGCGGGAACGTGTAAACCTTCCGGTTGTATTGTGATAGCTTTTTAAGAAAACTTGAGAAAACTTCCTGGTACGCTCTCCGAACGAGGCTTAGCTAACCGAGTAAGAGGGGGTAACTAAGGGGACAAAAACACGAGCAAAAATACAAAAAGCGAAACAAAAACAAGAAAAAGAATAGAAAAAGGAACAAAAACCATAAAACAAAAAAAAGACAGTGACTTTGACACCAGTTTAGTTGGATCAAACCTTTATATTAATTAAATAGTATATCCATACTCTTTTATAAGACCGATTGTTTCGATCAACCTAGCAATTTAATCCAGTGACCTCAATAAGGTGCCCAAGTGGGGGGCGTTGTTAAGGGTTTTCAGATAGCTTGCAACTTAGCTGGACAACTAGGAGACTTGACTGGAAGAGGTGACCAGCCGAGTGGGAAAATGGTTCACAAGGATTGAGCTGAAGCACTAGGAGACTTGACTGGAAGAGGTGACCAGCCGAGTGGGAAAGTGGTTCACAAGGATCGAGCTGAACCGCTAGGGGACTTGACTGGAAGAGGTGACCAGCTAAGTGGGAAGGTGGTGCTGGTGTCAAGTGCAGTGCACGTCAAGGGGACAACCAGCACGGGACCGGTACAACAAGAAGAGGACGCGCAGGGGTGTTCTCAAATTGGACAAACGGGTATCGTTAAAATCCACATTACATTATAGGAAATAAGTGTAAAATTGGATAAACGGAAACCCCATTGTTTTGAGGAAGTTTTTACTCAAGCAGGCCTGGAAACAGGTCTACGGTTTTCTCTCGAGAGGTTTAGCACCCGGCGCTTAAGGGAATTTTCGGCTTAAGAGGGGGGCTAAAGAGGGGGGAGGTTAGACGGGGGGCTGGTTAGGTTAAAGGTTGGTGGTTGTAGAGTGTAAAAAGGGGGGACACATTAGAGTAACTAATTGTTCGGCATCGTCGATTTAGTTACATTAGATACTTACACGCGTTGGTGATAAGAAGCGGATATCCAAATTTAACATCGAATTAAGGTAGGTTCCCTGGTCGGATCGGTAGGGGGGAACGGACATAGACAGTTTTTGTGAAGCCCTATAAGATCGCTAGCAGGGGGGAGGAAAACGCGTGGCAATCGGGTACCAGACGTTTTTTCGGACAAAGGTTGACATCTGTCAGCTTTGAATTTTAGGTGGGTTCATCTCTCTGTTTTATGATTTTTTCAGTTTCAATTTTTACGTTTTGGTGAGAATTTGTTATTGGTATTTGAACGAACAGGGGATCACAAAATACCTGCGAAGAAGTTGGGTTTCAAATTGCCTGAAACAACGAAAGGGAGATAAATACAGGGGGTCAGTATTTGAAGCTTTTGACCATTAAGATAGGGTTTTTGGGAAAATTTTTACTAGAACTCAAGTGGTGGTATACGGTACAGTGGTTCAAGAGTCCCGACAGAGAAGAGGAATAAATCCTACGATCCAGACACTTGGTGAAAAGTCTTGGGACAGTACCGAAGAAGTCTTGGGACAGTGCAGTCTGGGGACAGTCTTGGAGCAGTGCAGTCCTGGGACAGTCTTGAGACAGTGTAGTCTTGAGACAGTCTTGGGACGGTGCAGTCTTGGGACAGTCTTGGGCTAGAGCAGTCTTAGTACGGTCTTGGGACACTGGTCTTGGGACAGTGGTCTTGGGACAGTAGTCTTGGGACAGTGGTCTTGGGACAGTAGTCTTGGGACAGGGGTCTTGGGACAGGGGTCTTGGGACAGTGGTCTTGGGACAGTAGTCTTGGGACACTAGTCTTGGGACAGTAGTCTTGGGACACTAGTCTTGGGACAGTAGTCTTGGGACACTAGTCTTGGGACAGTAGTCTTGGGACAGCAGTCTTGGGACAGTAGTCTTAGGACAGTAGTCTTGGGACACTAGTCTTTGGACACTAGCCTTGGGACAGTAACAAGAAGTCCTGGGACAGTACCGAATAGTCTTGGGACAGTAGAGAGAAAGCTTGGGACAGCATGAAGAAGTGGTGTAACGGTACTAAAGGGTCTTAAGACAGGTCAAAATAACTGAAACAAAAGCAATAGGACTAGTCGGAACGTAAAATCGCGATAGATCGGATACTGTTGGGATCACGAATTAGTAAAATTTTAATAAATCTAATAAGGAATAGGAAAGTAGTTTTTCTTTTTATTAAAATTTTTTTTATTCTTAGAATAGGATTTTGTGAATAGCATTATTTTAAATAGAAATAATTGTAAATAAAAATCATGAAACGGAGCAGGGTACCGGTAGCTGAAAAAAGAGCCACAGAATCAAAGACAAAATATAACTCGTCGCTACGTAAAATGACATCGGTTGGCCCAAGAACAACAAAGAAGAACTTTTCAGTTAGCATGGTCAACACAAGGAGTAATACAGAGAACAAGACGAAAGAGGGCGCGGAAAGGAAACACGCGGAACCCGCCAACGAGATTGACCTAGAAACACCAGACCAGAGTATGGATGAGGTGGAGAAGAAGACGACGGAGTCGACACCGATGCCGAATGCAGAGGAACCAAATCAAAAGCCGAT